CTCAGGTGAAGATGCTCAGCAGCAAATGTGAATTGGAAAGAAAAATGTGGAATTGGAAAGAAACCAGAGGTAGAGATGGCTCCTTCCCTTGAGAAGTCTGGCTATGAATCTATCCCTAGGGAAGCACAGTTTTGTCAGGCCAGAAGCCAGAAGGTATTTGTAAATAGATGGGGAAGAGCCAGTGGAAAGGGATAAACTGAGAGAACAAGATCCCCAACTCAGCAAGAAGGGACAGTATGGAACCAGGTAGCAAAAGTAACCGAGGAAAGAAAAGGGAGAAAAGATTCAGGATAGGAAAGTTACCAGAAAGAGCAAACATTGCTGAAAACATAATAGATGGCTTTTAAGTATCTGGTTAGGTCATCTGCTGAGAGTGAGAATGGTGAGGTTATTTATGACTTAGGACTTAGACTCATGAGTGTTGTCTGTACCCATCAACGTTTGAGAAGTACTGCTATAACCCATCTTCTCCACCTCACAGAAAAGGAAATGGAAGCTCCAGATTAGCTGTTTTTCAAGTTAAGATTGCAAAGATAGGGAGAGTTCCTTCAGGAAATTAATGGGAATTCAGTGTGAGATGAATAAAAGGACCTTCAAATGAAAATGAAGCTCATTGTAATTTCATGACTTTTCTAGCAACGCTGCAGTATATAGGAGTGGAGGATGTGGAATGATCTGTGGCTACTCAAAATTAGGTTTGGAACTGAAAAAATGAACACCACAGGAAGTAAAAAGAATGAAAGAATTTGTATGTACTGCTATGGAAGCCATTCCTCAAATGAATGCTTTGAGGGGTGGGATGGGGAGGAAGACAAGTGAAACCAGACTATGGGCAATAGAGGCCTCCTGGGTGAGGAAGGGATAGGCCTAAGAACAGGTCAAGGAACTGGTGGTTGAGCTGAGGGAGTGGGACAGGTGAGGAGGTTGTGGTCAAAATGAGGAAACTGGAAGTCTGAAATCCTGACAGTAGAGCAATTTTAAGTAATCAAAAAGGTCCAGGTCGGCCATCTTAATAGGGGCCAAAATTCATCAGAGTGTAAGAGGTTAAGAAACAATGATTCTACAATATTTATCTTAGATTAAAAAAAAAAGAAGAAACAATGAGACCAGAATGTTAATGGAGTTGAAATCTTTGGTGATACTGGCAGTAGGAGTGGGAGAAAAATATATGCTACTGACATTTATAAAGTACATACTGTTCAATACTGATTTCCTCACATAAACTTCCTTTGGTGTGTTGATAAACAAAAAGAATCACATGATTTGCATTAAAAAATAAAAAGCTCTTTATCTGTGTCAAGTGGCGATTCTTCCTTAGACTTTCTCTTCAAAAACATGGCCTGGCCAGAGTTTATTTCTTTAGGAGTTGGAGATAAGAAGGCCTGACTTGGAAAAGACCCATTTTATTAAGGATTTGACCGCTTCTGCCAGAACAGGACTAAGTGCCAAAGGATGTGACCCTTAATTTGAGCCAATAGCTATTATCAGGGTGATAGCTTCCTGGAACACAAATTTCCTTCTGAACACAAGCATGCTTTGAGTAGAAGTCTGTGAGTATACAGCTATGTGAGTAGTATTTTATGATATACAGCAATGTCCTAGCTTAAGCTTGCTGTACCTTTTTTTTTTTTTTTTTTTTTTTGTCTTTTTCTGTGTCCGGCATCGGATCGCAACCCTCAGTGTCGCCCCCGTACCGGACCGGGACTGGCAACGCGATCACAACCCTCGGCGCTGCTCCCGCGCCTCGCTCAGCCAGTGAGCAGGAACCGGTCTGTATGTGGGATCCGAACCCTCGGGCAGGAGCGCCGCCGCGCTTCCCAAGCGGCGCACTATCCAGTGCGCCACCGGGCCGGCCCTTGCTGTACCTTTTTATGAATTTACATTATTATGATTGGAGTACATAAGGAAGAAGTGGTAGAAGACCGTAAGAACAAGGAAAAGTTTTCATTTTTTGTCAGGTAAAAAAATGTGTTACAAAAATGCTTACAGAGAAGGATCCTTTTTAAAACAATGGGTATATATACTCATGTACAGAGAAAAATAGGCATATATATGTATAAACTTAATAGCAATAAACTGCTCAGCTATGGAAGAGGACAGAAAAAAAATGCAGCTTTGGATTCTATGACAATGTCATTGAAAGTAGGAAGAAAATATAAGAATGATTTGTTTTCAAAGAATTAGTAATATAGTACACCTCAGGCAACAAGTCTAGGCGAGGGACTTACCTTTCCGAAGACCTGCCATAGCCAAATCCAAAGGAACTTGTTTCATGGAGGTGGAGACTCATCCCATTCTTCTAGCCTAGGTTACCACTCTGCTGTAGCAGAGTCGAATGGACAGAATTGTCAGGGAATTCCATTGGCAGCTATCAGGATACTGGCATTCTCTGTTCTGATGCAGTCATAGAAAGCACAAGAGGCCTCTTTAAATAATGAACTTAAAATATTTATATATGAACCGAACTTGGAACCTAATAATGTTATAGTCCAGGTGAGAGTAATGAGGCAATCTAGTCTCTTTAAAATGAATTTCTGGTCTCTAACATATTAGAAATTAAGGCCCCTACCAATATTTCTCAAATATTTGCTTCTTGGGCTAGATTTTAAATAGCACCAAAGAGATGACTGAGGTAGTAATTTTACCATGGTTGGAATTAACTCTCTACATCAAATTTCTTGTCAGAAGCTACCCAAAAAACCTTCATGTTACTACTATTTACAACAAATTATCACGATTATCTTAATAACTCAATCCATCTGATAAGAGTATACCTCTGAGGGCAAAACAAACTATTTTTAGCTTCATCAGTGACTAGATAATTATCTTCCTGTTTATTTCAATTCCCAGTTGAAAGCAAGTTGTATATGTAGTAAAGTCTCTGAAAGCACTCATCAGATCAAATATTGCCAGCAGAGAACAAACTGGGTAGACAGAGCTTCAGGAAATCTTGAAACAGCATAAAATGGAAATGATGAGAGATAATTAAGGATTATCTCTCAAGATTTATTACATTTACTAATCTGTGTTGCTGTCTCTTGTATTTTCTTTCATCCCACTATTTTTTTTTTTTTTTTTTTTTTTTTCCTCCCCCCATTTTTTTTTTTTTTTTTCCCCCCCCTTTTTTTTTTTTTTTTTCCCCCCCCTTTTTTTTTTTTTTTTTCCCCCCCCTTTTTTTTTTTTTTTTTCCCCCCCCTTTTTTTTTTTTTTTTTCCCCCCCCTTTTTTTTTTTTTTTTTCCCCCCCCTTTTTTTTTTTTTTTTTCCCCCCCCTTTTTTTTTTTTTTTTTGTCCTTTTTGAGACCGGCCGCCCCGCACCCAGCCAGGGAGCTCTGGGAGCGCACCGGTCATCCCTATATAGGATCCGAACCCGCGGCAGGAGTGCTGCTGCGCTCCCGGCGCTGCACTCTCCTGAGTGCGCCACGGGCTCGGCCCATTATCCTACTCTTTTCTATGCCTTCCTCTAGGTAGCTCTGAGTAAAATTCCCTTTTATATAGTATAGAGTCAGGCAGACTGCTTATCATTGGCTGGGGGCAGGGAAAAGCTGATTTTCTCTCTTTTTTCCCCCTCCAAATTGCCTTTTACTAACTTCCTTTCTTTTTTTTAATTTATTTTTTAAAATTTTAACACTTACTTGTACACATTTAACTTCCTTTCTTATTCTTTCTCCTTTCCTGCCTCCTCTAGGGGTGTAGAGCTACACAGATGCCTCATTTCTCACTACCCCTCATCTTCTCATGTAATTCCCACCTAGGGTTGCCATACTTAGAAGATAAAAACTACAGGACATCCAGTTAAATGTGAATTTCAGATAGACAATGAATACTTTTAGTATAAGTATGTCCCTGTTATACTTGGGACATACTTATACTAAAAAATTACTTGTTATTTACTGAAATTCAAATTTAACTGAGAGTCCTACATTTTGTCTGGCAACCCTATTCCCTCCTTGTGGGCCACAGGAGGCTCTGGCAGTAATTCCCTATTACTGAGAATTCTATCTGCTTAAGTCCGAGTCTCGAAAGAATGCCCAAATCTAAATACCACCATTTCATCACAGTGGTCCATTTTCCCATACTCCCAGGTCACTCCCACAAGGGCTCCCTTAGACTTTCACTCTGTGAATTCTGAATTGATAAAAATATCAGATCTGCAGTCCATTTATCTTTGCTCCCAATGGCCCTAATAATTTTGACTTTTGGCAAATGAAGATAAGACTTACCATGATGAACCTGAATTAACATGCCTACATAATACACCCTTTCCGTTCCTGCTTTAGAATGAAGCTATCAGGGAAAAAGAGATCTAATGTGAACACATATGATACCTTTTATAGGACCTTAAGACAGGTAAAAAGAGTAAGAAACCTGCTAGAGGACCAAGGAAGCAGTAATTATATTTAAGTGCAAACTTGAAGAGAAAAATTAATTTAATCTGAAGAGTAAGGCTTGTCAGATGAAATTTTCTCTTTACTGGGTCTGAGAACAGAGAATGCCAGAGGGAAGCATAAGGTATTTTAGAAATATTTTTAAGTGGCAGTCAATGCCCTTTCAAAGCCTTCATTGTTCATGACTGACTTTAAAGACAGTATCAATCCAGAGCACAGCTTTTCAAAGAATTACTTGTGTCTTGGACCTTGTTTGACAGGTATCTTTTGTTTCACTCAAGTCAGCTTTATACAGATTAAATCATCAATTTTATGTGTTTAGTGTGATGAATTTTAACTAATATATACATACACCTATGTTACCATTTCCCAGATGAATATATAGAACTTTCCATCACCCCCAGAAAGTTCTCGTGTCTCTTTCCTCAGGCAACTATTATTCTGATTTTTATCACCATAGATTTATTTTATCTGTTCATGAATATTAAATCATACTGTATGTTTGGTTAAGGAAAGAACTGTCATAAAGGAGTGCAGACATGAATATTTTCAGCTGAAATCAAGGGCCAGTGAGGTGTAAGCCGGCTAGTGAATGAGTAAAACAGAGAGGTAACTATTAAAATTTAATCACTTTATTAAACTAAGTCAAATTTGATTAAATGAAAAAAAAAATCTGTATACCTTAGAATCATTCCTGAGTGTTGGAATTAACAGTGTTCACAAAATGTTGACCCAATTTGGAAAAAGGATTATAGAGTGTAGAAGAAACAACAGAGTCTACAGAAAAGTGATTGCCCCCTCTTCTCCAACCCAAATCACTGGGTAATAAGTAACTAAAAGTTGCTAGTAAGCTTTTGATATCTTGTCCACTTTATCACAGACAACCATAAATGATTTTATGTGGGAAGGAGACAACATGTAGAGAATGAAACTATGTCAGAGATGGGAGAAGGTGTTTAGAAACAAAATGAATAGTCCAGGGCCAGACAGATTGGTTCTGCTATTGGTGGGCCTAGAAGGTGAAGTCAGAAGTAGCAAAATGGATACCAGAAGCACTACCTGTCACCTAAGCTAAGTGGAATAGCTGGCCCAACAAGAGAAACGTAGGCTTCACTGTGTACTGAGTTCCCCAGCTTTGAATAAGCCTCTGAAAACAACTGTTAGAGGAAAAAATGCAACTGGTTATGAAAATATATTATATTATATATCTCATTTAATTAAAAAATCAATTTGTTGACATACAAACCAACTAGACCAGTGTTAACAGAACCCTTTTATCTTCAGGACAGAGGCAATTCTCCAAACAAGCATCAATTTAAGAGCTCTGATGCCAACCAGAAGGGCACCTAAACACAAATTTAGCATGAGGTCTTTTAGTAGGAGTCTTTATGTCTTTCGGTGGAGGCAAAGCCATTTGGTTGGCACTTCGTAGGAATATCTTTCTACCAGGTCTTCGTCATATGGTATGTGCCACGAGTCTCCAGTTGTTTGTACCACTGTGTCATAGCTGAAAATATGCTGTTGAATTAAAAAGAGAACCAAAGATTGAGAATAACACTAAAGGGTTACTTGGCCATTTCCCTTTGTTTTCTGACAACTTCTGTTTGCTTTGGAGGAGTATTCCCTGAGTTAACATTGGATTTTCTTTCTTTTTTTTTTTTTTTGTGACCGGTAAGGGGATCGCATCCCTCGGCCCGGTGTCGCCCACACCGGCGCTCAGCCAGTGAGCGCACCGGCCATCCTTATATAGGATCCGAACCCGCGGCGGGAGCGCCGCTGTGCTCCCAAGCGCTGCACTCACCCAAGTGCGCGCCACGGGGCTGGCCAAACATTGGATTTTCAAAGAACAGCTAACTCCGTGAAGATAAACTGTAGTATTAGGAGTTACTTTTGGGGGAAGGTTTCATTTCTAAGGTTAAGGACTCTCTATAGGAGCATCACATTTATAGGATACAGAATTCCTTTTGCTGCCTTTATCAGTTTTGTATCTGAGAAAGAAAAATTTCAAATATAAGAAAGAACTCCCATGCACCCATAACCTAGCTTCAACCATTATCAACTCATTACTAATCTTGTCATTCGTACCTCTCCCACTTCCTGACCCCATCCCCTCAACGAAGATTACTTTGAAGCAAATCTCAGACATATCACTTCTGCAAAATTTCAGTATGTATCTCTAAAATATAGGATTTACCTTGTAAATGTAAGATCAATACCATTATTACACAAGAATTAATAATTCTTTTTTTTTTTTGGTTTTTTAACATCATCAAATTTCTGTTTATATTTCCCTAATTATTACATATGTATATACGTATGTTTTATAGTTTATTTGTTTGAATAGGAATTGAAATAAGGTCATTACATTGTGACAGTTTGAAATATCTCTTAATTTTCTTTAAATCTAGATCTTCCCTTTCCATCTCTATTTTTCTTGCTGTTTTTTGTTGTTGTTGAGGAAACCAGGTCAGTTGTCCTCTATCATTTCCCAGGATACAGTCTTGATTTTGCTGACTAAATCCCTGTGGTATCATTTGATACCATGTTTCCTATAAATTTGTTGTTTTACATATTTTTATTTTTAATTGAAAAATAAAAATTGTACATATTTATCGTGTAAAACATTTTGAACTATGTATACATTGTGGAATGGCTAACTTGAGCTAATTGTGTTAGCTCATACACTTACCAAAATCTATTCTCTTAGCAATTTTCAAATCACCATGTTTTACCACAGATCTCTTAAACTTATTCCTCCTAAATGAAACTTTGTATCCTTAGACCAACATCTTCCCACTCTCACCCTCACCCCCTTATAATTTTTGACCATTGGATCGTATTTTACAATGGGTCAGTTTGTTTTTATGTAGTAATTGGGGTTTGGACTTTCTCTCTTTACTTTCACATAAGAGACATCCTTGCATTATAGGTATCTAAACTAGAATCAAAGAGAATTCAGTTGAGACTGTACCCTAAAAGTGGATTAAACAGGAAAATGGTTTACTTAGCAAAAGTAGAACAAACCATAAAATATAAGGAATTTTCAGTTACTGCAAATAAACAGGAAAATGAAAAATACATATGGGAGGTCATAACTGATGACATAATTGAAGTCACAATTGGTGACATCCCACGTATTTTCAATATGTTGATTAATTTGGGGGTGGCCTAAGAAAACTTTTGTTCTGGCAGACTTTCTGTTTCTAGGAACTGGCTAATCCAAATGCCAAACTAAACCCAAGAAAAATAAAACATTTAGAATCTTTAACTAGTTTCGAATTCTTTTAACTATGCCACGTTTTCATTATATATACTTGACTCTGTTAACATTATGTATAGAACAGATACCATACCTGAAAGGTTACTTTTGATCCTAGAAACCTATTCATAATTGCCAGCTGATGTCCCTGCTGCCACTTAAAGAACAGGCGTTGGGTCTTGGCATCAGGTAGGCAGGCTTTGTGGTCCCGCATCAGGTCTTTTGTGATAAACTTACAGTGATTCCCCGAGTGCAGTGTGGCATACAGAAGGAATGGATCATCTTTTGAGCTGAATCAGGCATAAAAAAGGACATAATCAAGCATAACTGAGGAGGCAGAAAATGGCATTCTTACCCTGCTTTTTCCTTATTTTCCTACTTAGAGGTGCTGTAGCATAATAGCAATTTTCTCTTTATATTTAGAATAAAATCCAGGCATATTGCCTGTCTACCAGGTCCTCTGTAATGTGGTCCCTGCCACCTCCTCTCTGACCTCAGAACCTACGAGTATTCCCTTCCCTCTTCCTGCTACAGCCCATCCACATAGGCCTTCTTGCTTTCCTCAAACACACCAAGTTTACTCCTCTCTCAGGGCTTTTTGAACACTTGTTTTTCCTCTTATCGGTGATGTTCTTCCTACCACTTTTCCCCCTTTCTCAAATGACTTGCACCTTCTCATCAGATTTGAACCCCCGACCACCCCAGCCACTACTGACCTACCCCCTACCTAATACCTTGCTATCTGCTCATTTGTTTTGCTAAATGGTCTTTTTAGGATATTATGGCATGTATTCTGTGTACTAATCTCACTCCTGACTTATCTTCCCCCCACTTCTCTTTTATCCTGATTTATCTGTTTAAGATTATGTGCTGTAGAAACTGTATTTTTGTAAGTTGCCTCAAATATATATATATGTATGTATGTATTCTTGATGGATGGCCAGTATGGGGATCCAAACCCTTGACCTTGGTTGTAATGCCACACTCTAACCAACTGAGCTAACCAGCCAGCCCAAATTTTTTTTTTTTAAATAAGGTTGAGTACACATATACACATGCATTTTTAAAGTAGTGAAAGTATGTAACTAACAAGCAGATAACTAGAACCTAGTTTTTTTTTTTTTGTCTTTTTCCGTGTCCGGCAACGGATCGCAACCCTCAGTGTTGCCCCCGTACCGGACCGGGGACCGGCAACGGGATTGCAACCCTTGGTGCTGCTCCCGCGCCTCGCTCAGCCAGTGAGCGGGAACCGGTCTGCATGTGGGATCCGAACCCTCGGGAGGGAGCGCCACCGCGCTTCCCAAGCGGCGCACTTATCCAGTGCGCCACCGGGCCGGCCCAGAACCTAGTTTAATTTACCTATTACCTCCACTACTTACATGTCATCAGCAAAAAAACAGCTGGCTTGCTTTTGTACCTTTTCCATCTCATCCTTTCTCCACCGGGATCTCTGTCTTAGCATGTGTTTCCGGCCCAGGACCAGCAGTCGCAGATTCTGTTTGGCTAGTTGAGAGACTACATCCAAAAGCTAAAAAACACAAAGCCAGCACCCAAGAGGGTCAAGGGAAGAATCTCAAATAAGTAGAGTGATTCTCACAGCTAATCACCTTAATGGTTGAAGCACTCTCTTCTGGTAAGGGGTAAGAAGATGAAAATAGTCCTTAATCATTTTCCATCTTCGAAAGCCTGAGGAAAATGCTTCTCTGTTACAAATTAGTGTCTAACATTTGCCCACTGGTCCGGCTATGTTGGTTCTGGGGGCGTTTATAAGCATAGACTAGATTTTAAACTGTTTCCCTAGAGCCCACTGCAATATAGATAGGGAGGCTCAAGATGGATTGGATCTTGTTTCTATATACTCCCAACCCAGTTTCAAACAAAATAGCTCGACTTCTGTATATTTACATTCTGCACAAGTTTTTATCTGAATAAAGGGTTCTACTTTTTTTTTTTAAGTTTGTAAATGGCTGGATTAGATAGTGACTTTTCAGCCAAATTTTCCATATCATTCTACTGCTAAGACTGCTGCCTTTCACTGAAATTTCTTTTTCTTCTGAAAGATCTGTCAATTTCCACCCTCTAGCCTACTTTCCAATCAGTGAATTTATCCCCATTCTCTCCATTTACCACTTGTGTTCACATGAACTCAAATGTCTAGACTTGGATTTTTAGGAAGTCTAGTACTTTGGTGAACTTGCCTTCACTCAGTCTTTCATAAGGAAAAGTCCATAGATTACTTTTGTGTACAACCTATTAAACTAAGCTATAAATGGATATTACTAAGTAAAACAAAAACTAATGAAAAATTTATAATTTATATTTATAACTTATAAATAGTGTATCAGAAAATAAAAGTTCTTTAATTTGTAAGAATTGCTGGGCCCATGAAAATCAAAAGTTGAAGGTTGTTGAAGAAATCCTTAATATTCTTGAGTCTTGGTTGGAAAAGGTATGGCTTTTAGTCTAGCTTCCCCTTACTCAAAATTTCTTCCCTTGTAGATTTTCAGGACATTATTTCAAATTCTTTAATAAAAACTCATTTATTTTTTTGGTCAGTTGTGAAATATTGTATTAGCACTTGCTATGTCTAATACACATGTAGACTCTCTGAAAATCTAATAATGAATTAACAAGGGCTGAACTTTTTAATATTACTGTTTAATGCTTTGGATTTATATTGGATTTTTGTCCATCCTACTCTATTACTGATATTATTATTTTAGGAAGGAGTACATAGTTGGTTTCATTATGCCTAATTATTAGTTCTAGAATTAAGACACAGAATGAACACAACTTGCCAGCTGAATGTGGGCTAATATCAAGCAGAAAAGAATATCAAGACCAGTGTGACAACCCCAAATCCAAAGCTTTACAACTAGTAAAATACAGTTCTTTCCTTCAAAGTTAGGAATAATAGTGTCTGTGTTCATTCAACAGTTATTTCCTAGGCCTCTCTCTCTTTAAGGCATATGGGAGTTATCACAGCCCATAACATTTTAAAAGACATGGTCCCTGACTTTAGTGAGGGAATGTCTAATATTTTCTTTACCCAACTACCAAGTCTAGGAAAATATATATGCTGATACTACATACAGTGGGTGGCTAATTAACACTTTCTGATTAGCTGAATGACATGCTATTTTTACCCACCATAAAAGATAAAGAACATCTATTTTTACCCATTATAAAAGTAGCTCATATTAAAACATGAAAAATATAGACTTAAAGAAAGATGAAAGAACAAATCACTTATATCTCACTACCCAAAGACTGTTAATGTGTATTTACCAGTTTTTTTCTATGCATTTTATACTATCTTATAGGCCATTACTTTAAAAGTTGGGCTAGTAATCAAAAGCAAACATTTAAATTAAGAAAGTTTGATTCATGGATTCAAATACCTCAAAAGACACTGAGAATGCATATCTTTCAGATATACTTATAACATTACTTTTTACAAATTTTCTTTTTAATCAGCTCCTTAAGTTGTGAGTAACATTCCTTTTTTAAAGCTAAGCTGAGATAGATTGTTTACAATGAGCCCAGATGCAAAATGGCAACTGGACTCATTAATAGGAATGACAATTACTTTTCAATTTCCATATGAATTCCCACAAAGTTATTATTACAAAGATACAAAAATTTAAACAAAAATATTTTTTGATACTGACTGTTTAAGTTTCCATGGAACTGGGAAGACATGGCTTAAAGAAAAACACAAGTGGGTTTTCATAGCTATACCCTGGTTCAGATAAATGGCGTTGTTCACTAATATCAAGTTAAAGATGGGGGCCCAAGGAAGAACAGAAAAATCTTAGCTTGAACTACTCTGGGGCAACATTTTGTGGCTGAGAGAAGTCTACTAGCAGCAACTCTGAAAACAATGAAAACAAAGGAGAGTAAATGAAAGACACAGGAAAGAAAGATGAGTGTGCGGAATAAAGGCACTGGCCTGAAACCCTGTGACAGTCCATCTATAAGCCCACTCCTCCTGGAGTAAATTCTAAGGCTGGATCCAGTGAGCTGGGTCAGAGTCATAGATATACTTAGAATAGTAAAGAAAAAGAAAATTTAACTTAACTCTATGTTAGATCAAAAATAAAACAGGGAGGGGATATGGAGTAGATATAGTTCTTCCTATCTCTCTCACTAAGTACAACTAAAAAATCTGGACATGATATATAAAGTAAACATAAGAAGACTCTGAAAGGCAGGAGAAAAAAAGGCAAACCGATTAGGAACCTCAGGACGAGAGGAATGACATGGTGGTAAAATCCCCAGGTTTCCTTTTTGCCACATATATGCCAGACTTGAAGCTAAAGCAGCCGTCACCCTGGAAACACCAATGTGTGCAGACAAAAAAGCCCAACAAAGGCCTGTTCTCTCTAGCCAAAGGACCAGAAAATAAGCAGTCTAATCAGACAGAAAACTTGGTAAAATGATGACACCAGTAGACTGTGATTCTATGTATATATATGAGGGTACTTCAAAAAGTTCATGGATGAGATTTGATACTTAGAAAAAAAAAGTTCATGGAAAGATTCATATTATCTTTTTTTATTATTATTATTATTATTTTTTCCTTTTTGTCTTTTATCGTGACCGGTAACGGGATCGCAACCCTCAGTGTCGCGCCCATACCACGACCGGCAACGGGATCGCAACCCTCAGCGTCGCGCCCGCACCGCGCTCAACCAGTGAGCGGACCGGTCTCTACATGGGATCCAAACCCTCAGCAGGAGCGCCGCCGCACTCCCAAGCACCGCACTCTACTGAGTGCGCCACCGAGCCGGCCCCATATTATCTTTTAAATCTAGTTTTCTATGAACTTTTTGAAATACTCTTGTATATATAATACCTAAAGCAATTATTAAAAATGCTATACAAAGAGATACACTCAAAAACACTACACATTTTGTAAAAATTCACTACAGAGAAATAAGAATGGAATTCTAAAAAAAGTTCAAGTAGCCTACAGGAAGTCAGGAAAAATAAAACAGAGACAACAGACAGAAAACAAAAATAAAATGGCAGGCATCACTCTAACATTTCAATAACAACATGAGGTATAAAGCATCTAAATACACCAATTAAAAGATAGAAATTGGCAGAGTGAATTAAAAAACATGACCCAATTATATCTAAAAGAAACTTACTTCAAATATAATGATATAGACTGATGGAAAGAAAAGGGATAGAAACAGTTATATATCATGCAAACATTAATCAAAGGAAAGCTCAAGTGGCTACGGAGCACAGAAAATTACTAGAGACACAAAGGGACATATAATGATAAAAGGGTCAATCTACCAAGATTACATAGCAATCCTAAATGTGTGTGCACTAAAAACAATGGAGCTGAAAAATATGTAAAGCAAAAAGCTCATAAACCAAAAGGAAATAGACAAATCCACAATTGTAAGTGGAGACTTCAACAATCCTCTCTCAACAACTGAGAAAATAACTAGACAGAAAATCAGCAAGTATACAGAAGAACTCACCAACACCATCCATGTTCATAGATTGGAAGGCTCTAGATAGGAGAGATGTTAATTCTCCCCAATTTGCTATTTGGGTTTAATATAATTCCTATTAAAATCTCAGCAAAAATTTTTATAGATAAGACAAGATTATTCTAAACTGTATATGGAAAGTCAAAGGAAGTAGAATAGCTAAAACAATTTTAAAAAGGAAGAATAAAATGGGAAAATCGGTCTACCTCATTTTAAGCCTTATTATACAGCTACAGTAATCTAAATTATGTGATACTGGTGGAGGGATGGACAAATACATCAATGGAATAGAGAACCCAGAAATAGACCCACGCAAATATGCTGAGGAAAGATAGTCTTTTCAACAAGTGATGCTGAAGCAATTGGACATTCCTAAGTAAAAAAATGAACCTCTACCTAAATCCTATACCTTATATAAAAATTAAATCAAAATGAATCATTGACTTTAATGTAAAATGTAAACTATAAAGTTTTAGAAAATAAATTACGAGAAAAGCCTTTATGATCTAGAGTTAGGCAGTGTTCTTAGACTTGGAACCAAAAACATGGCCCATGAAAGGAAATATTAAACTGGACTTCAAAATTAAAAATGTTTGCTCTCTGAAAGACCCTGTTAAAGGGTGAAAAGACAAGTTACAGACTGGGAGAATATGTTTACAAACCACATATTCAACAAAGAACTAGTATCTAGAACATATAAAGTACTCTCAAAATTAAACAGTTAAAAAAAAGCAAACAATCTAACTAGAATATGAGCAAAGACCTTTCACTAAAGAAGATATACAGATGATAAAGAAGCACATGAAAAATTGTCCAGCATCATTTGCCATCAGGGAAAACAATTATAATCCAATGAGATAATATTATACACCTATCAAAATGGCTAAAACAAAATGTACTGATATCACCAAATGCTGGTGAGGATGTAGAGAAACTGAATCACTCCTATATTGCCAGTGAGAATTATGTTCAGACAAAAACCCATATGCACATGTTTACAGCAGGCTTATATGTA